CTATCCTATTATCTCCCTAATGCCCCAAAAGCTAAATAGTTGTTTTTTTTTAAACCTGCAATGGTCAAAGTATGCAAAATGCAAGTAAAAAACTGAAATGTGAACATTTAATATCAACACTTTTCTTTTTCTGGTGTTTAACTTATCTACACTCAGACTGAATGATACAAAGAGTATTGGTTGGATACAGTTCGTTCTGAGTCGTTTCTTACTTGTGGCTTCATATTCGGCATACAGACTCTGAAGTTTGAATTTTTCCAACCTCATAGTCTAAAGTTGAGTCACTACAAAAAGATTAGAAAAGACAACAAAATTTCCAGAATGGCGATTATTCATCATAATTAAATCATTATCCACTTGTTTAGTTTTTAAACAGTTTTACTCCTAAAATCAGAAATATAGTGAACACACATTCTCCGCAGAATCTTAAAAATAACGAGATAGTTGAAAAGGACTTATTAAGCTATACATGGCTTTATTTGTACTTGTCTTAAAAAAACAAAGTCAAGGCTCTCTGTATCTTAAGCCTTGTTACATTTGGAGGATTTGATCGCAAAGTAAATCATTTGATGTCGTGTTCGTTCGGGCCTCTCGTTTGTAGATGATTTGAAAAACAAATCGAAATCAAGATGGGACGTTATTTTCTCAGAATCACACGGTTTGCGTGGCGCTTCATCCCAACCGCTTGATTTTGTCATCTTCAATCACGCATGAGCATTTTAGCTTCTCCCATGTCCAAAGTTATTCACAGTTCTGCTTGTTGGCTTTTTCTTCAGTTTTTTCTTGCTTATCCATCCATTGTCTATAGCACGCTTATTTCCACGGGGTGGAGGCGACATTGGGGAACATTGGGCAACAGTTTTTGGACGGTGGGAGGAAGCCAGAGGACCCAGAATTTTAGGATTACCTTTTTTTAAAATTTCCAGATCAAGTCCAAGAAATAACTCTAAGACCATTTTCATGTATAGGGACTCTCACTGTGCTCCACACAACAAGACTCTGGAGATCTGTCACAGAACTGACTTTTCAGTGTTTCTGCAGTGCTAAGATCAGAACCAATTTGAAACCTGAGCTATTCTTCCAGAAAACTACTATCTATCTTTGCATAAAAGTGTTTGGTTTGGTTTCCCTTTGCAACAGTTAACCCAGCGGAGGGCCTCTGTCTTGCCGGTTTTGGAGGTTTCCCTGCTTCGCCACACCTCATTCACAGCAACACAACATCAGCCGACCTATTCAGAGTTTAGCAATCTTTAAAAGACATCCATTATCGGGTGTGTAGAAGCAGGGAAACCTCTAAAACCCGCAGGACAGCGGCCCTCTAGGCCCGGAGCTGCCCAGCCTTGAGTTAACCCAAACACAACACTACACAGTTAACACCAATTTGTTTAAGAAACTACAATACATTTAATTTCAAATTACATTAAATTACAGGCTTGCCATAGGAATGTAATCTCTTTTCAATATGAGTATGAGTTATTTTGGCCTATCATTGCCAAAAAAAAAATAATACTATGAAACCTATTGAAATATACTGTCCTGTTGCAATTTGAGTATTACAAGTGTATGGGTTCAAACCCACACTTCTATGTATATTCTAAAGTTCGAGACTTGTTGGAATAGAACAAGAACTGCAGATATTTTTTTATATATTTTTTTATATTTATAACTTATATGTATTTTTTATATTTATATATATTTATATTTATCTATTTATACTTATTTATTTATTAATTAATTTATTTATTTATTTATTTATTTATTTATTTATTTATTTATTTATTATATTATTTATATTTCAAATGGAACCATAACAATAGATTTTTTAATCTTCACAAACAACCTCACATGACTGTAAAAAACTCGTTTCAGTCTCCTTATTGGGATGTTTTAAATGAGAATTAAAAATGATCTGCTAGTGTGTCTCCACTAACATCGTTGCCACAAAAAGACCCATACACCCTTTTTACTTGAAAGTGGCCATTAGACACACTCAGTTGAAGTCCTTGTGCCCTTAGAATATATCTTACCTGCCTTTGTTGTTTTTTTAATGACTTCCTAATCTCAATAATTCAGAATTTTACATTGATTCTATTGTAAGAAACACCTATTAGTGATCTCTTGATGAATAATGCAGAAGACCTATTTTTTTGCATGAAGGAACTCTATTTAATATGGCAAATGTGAGAAAAACCAGACCAAACCAGTTAAAATACTTGATTTTTCATTCTACTTTGATAAATGGATTTCAATTTAGTGTCACTGTTATAGGTTATATCGAGTCAAAGACATTTCTAATGGCGTGTGTACCTGTTTTTTTTTTTTTTTTATTCTGTCAGACACCAGTCAGAGTGTGAAACAGGGCCGACAGTATGGGGCTGAATCCCTCTGCTTTCGTGTGCTGACGCGAAGTGTTTCAACTCTTTGATTTTCGTTTTTTTGCCGGAAACGAGCAAGCTCCGCAAAAAACGCTGTACTCACTCACTCGTACTCACTCACACTGTAGTACAAATTACACTTACAGTAAAGGAGATGCTTTAAATCTGGGTGTTTATGTGTGTGTTTGTGTGTGTGTGTGTGTGTTTGTCTGTATCTCTCTCTTTCTCTCTCCACCGTACTGCAGTGCAGTCCAATCTATCAGTGCCGCACTAATCCAGCAACTGTGGTGTTACAAGACTTAACTGCAATTTAGTTTGACCCGAGTCAACCAGTCTGTGGATTATCATCTCAAAGACGGCACAGCATTGTCTTCTGCAAGTCTTTGTAAGGGGCTGAGCTACGGAACATTGCAATTGTCACGTTACATAAATCAAGTGCAGAAATCATGTTGGCGTTTCATTTTCTCTATGTTCTTATTGCTTTGACGCTCTTTACGGGGTTGATTTGGACTTGGAACTCCAGATCAAGAACACAATTTGTACGTTGAAGGCCTGAAGACGTGTTACGTAATGGCTTAGGCAGTATTACTTCGAGAGTAAGAAATAAAAGATCAACTTTAAGCTAGTGTATTAAAAAAGATGGAAAGTCATTACTGGGGTTAATGTGTCGCCGCGGCGTTCTGAAGAATTGTTTTTGCTTTTTAGTCAGTTGGTCACTTTAGTCGTACGAGCAATAGGATTTGGCAACAGTACGCACACATTCCCGGCTCATCTCAGACCTACTACGCTTAATATGCGTAGTAGAGTCAAACAGCTGTCTTCGTCACAGTAAACATGCACAGGAGGGGATTCAAAGTATGGAGTTATGTCTAATGCCGAGTGGATGAAGACCATGTTTATGCATATATATATATATGTATATATATATATATATATATATATAGTATGTGTGTATGTATGTATGTATGTATGTATGTATGTATGTATGTATGTATGT